GAGTATCGGGGGAGTACCGAGGAGCTGCAGAATCACTGGTCTGTAAAGATTAATACGTACAAAGCGAGAGGGGCTTTGGGAATAAAGATTTAAATCTAACTTGGGGACAAAAGCCTGAGTTTTAGAGAAAAAGAGAGAAAACAAGACTGCTTATTTGCTGGCTGGATCTCCATTGCAACCTAAAGAGCCTATATTATCCTACTTTCCTCATCGCAAACAATCCTGGAGTTGTGTTTTGTTTCATTCACATGTTTAACACAGAAATCCTGCATGTCTTAGGCTGAGTTCTTCTCTCAAACAGAAAACACTGTTCCACCTTGAGATGTCATGTTGTAATATTCTTTTAGCCATGTTAGAACATCGTTAACTCCTCAAAAACATACCTGAAGTTGTGGTTTGTTTCATTCACACAACATTAGTCTGTCTACACCTTGTGATGTCATGAAGCAGTAGTTTTCATGTTAACTTTCATTCAGTAGAGATTGGTAATTGAAGAGCTGATATTATCCAAATGATTCTAGTGAAGGAGTATGGAGTTTAAAAACACAGTGGAGCACTTCCTGTACCCTATAACAGAGTTTTTCAACAGGGGGTACTGCAGGGTGGGTCGGAAAATCTTTGTTTGATTAGACTTTTTTATATTTAATATGTCTTAATTTTTGAAGGATGAGGATGAACTGGTTTTCAGTGGGTTCTGGCCGTTCTCTCCTTCATCACGTCTGTCTCTCTGTCTTCATTCCCTCATCTCTCGTTCGCTGTCAAACTACAAACACCTTAGTGCGGATTTTATCGTTTCTTCTAGGTTAAATATGAAGAGTTCCGTTACAGCTTTACTTTTACGCACACCGGAACTTAAGCTCCGCACGTACTACCGCGCATCAGGAAGGGGTGGGGCAACTTCATTCCCCGGCTGTATTAACCAGGCTCTGCAATCCACAGCCAGCCTCTTCTACACCGACTGGGAGAGGAGGGGGAGTGAACAGGAGAGGAGGGGGAGTCGTATCTTTCCTCTTGCTTCTCAGATCAGAATGACTGGAAAAGTTCCATATCAAACTCTTAACCATGCGCACTGTGGCTCCTCTCTCGTTTAGTCAGATTATTTAAAAAGTCACAATTTTTTTTGCCCATTTTTCCATGATGTCGTTGCTCCACCAGGCCTTCCAAGAGTCACAAAGCACAGTTTAAATTTAAGGCCTGAATTAGCTTTGGTCAGAGGCTTATTTCTTTCATGGAACAAATTGAGGCTTCAACTGGAGATGGAGTTTCAGCTCAGGATTTCAGGATAAGCCTGGACTTGTTAAGCAACTTTGATGGAATACCCCCTAGTAGTGAATGTAAAATAACAGAGTAGCTATTTTTATACCCAACACTAGGCCCAATTTAATAAACACAATTGTATGCCTTATATATAGTAGAGCAGGGTTGCTCAATACGTCGATCGTGATCTACCAGTCGATCGCCAAGGTCGTGTGGGTAGATCGCTGTGTCTCGTCTCGGACTCGCGTTTGGACTCGGTCTTGTCTCTCACTCGAGGTCTGACACTCAACAAGTACGATCATATTTCATTACGGCCGCTGCTGTTGGCAATAAACTTGTACCGAGGTGCAGGAGCGTGTGGGGCGTCTCAGTGCAGCCTGTGCGCTCATTTGAAACCCGCGGAGACTCTACTCTACGGCACATCACAAACACACACGCTCCCTATGCACGGCTCGTCTGCAACAGCGTGTGCCCTCATGTACCAGCGTGCATCACAGGGCAGGTTAAACTTCCTAAACATCCTACCTGTCCATCTGCCTCACGTCAGCACGCCGCCCCTCGCCAAACGTGAAGCAAAAACGAGTCTAAATTTGTGTTACAGTGTTGGCACAAAGCAGGTCTACAGCATAGAGCAGATCTACAGAACAGACCTACTGCCACATTTGGCTGAAGTTTGTCTAACAAAAGTGCACAAATGCATCTGTGTTTGTCACGATGTGCGTTTGGTTTGGTAAACGTGCAGAGGCTGGTAAATATCACTGCAAAACCAGAGAAGAATGCAACTCCAGTTTGGAACTTTAAAAAACAGGTTTAAAAATCTTACCTACTTCCTTCACTTTTTTCACAGTTTTGTGTAAAGTGCCAGAGGAAGTTCTCTTAAAGAAGGGGTTCTCAAACTGTGGGTGAGGGTCTAAGAAAGGGGCACAGAGTGTTTCAGCATTATAACATAGATCAGAAAAAAAAGCTTTAAAGACACAATTAAATACCTGAAATTGAATAAGCAGAAGAAAGTTTAGTTCAACACCATGATGTAGAACTTCAAAGACAAAGCAACAATAGAGACAAGCCAACGACAATGACATACCCTCCACCCGAAAAGTTACGCAGCCAACCTTTAACAAACTTCTTCCTTGTTTTTTCTTTTTTCACTGCTCTAAACGATTACTTGCTTTGGCCCATTCGTCTCTAAACTCCCGCCCCATCTCTGCGTGTTGTTGTGCGCGTTAACCTTATTCCACCTGGCCAATCCATCCAGGCCAAAGTCGATCGAAAAAGTGATTCGTCACGGCTCCCGCTCGGGCCAAATTAGTCCCCCCAACACACAGCTCTACGGGGAAGCTTTAGAACACAGAATCCATTCAATCGCTCCAAAAAGAGGACGGGAGATTTTTTTCTTCTTTTTTTCTTCAGCCGCTATAATGCCGTGCGGTTCGACTGGCAGACCCCACCAAGCTGCTGCTACTGATAACACGGGGACCTAGACAGGCAACAATGACACAAACAGCCTACCAATTATAGCGGATATAGGCAAACATTTAGCAAAAACAAGCCTGACCGCGAAGCCAATCGGACTCTAATTACGTTTAGGCCAGTTGAATGCATTGCTGCTTAATGGTGAGGGGTTTAGGAGCATGGGAGAGACAGGAATAGCGGTTGAAAAGGGTAAAAAGGAGGGATTATGTTGGAGATTTGGCGTTACGCTCCCATTGCAGAGAATTAAAGGGCTTTTTATACCACCAGCTGAATGAGCGAGAAGCGCTTTTCGGACCAGATTTGCACAAATGCGTTCAAAAGGACTCAATGGTGTTTAATTAAAGACGTGATCCTTTCCTGTTTGGGACATCGATTTGTCTCGCGGTTTTTGACATATGACATACTGTATACGAATACAAAGGACGCACAAATCCAATACTGGTCTTGGATATCGGGGTAGATACTGAAAAATATTTTTAATTGGATATTTGGTTGGACATATGCACTGATAATGTAAATCTCATTATATTTGAATTTTTATTTATACAAAGCTGTTCTGTAGTTACTTGAGATAAATAACAACTACATCACACATTTGGATCAGTGCGGTCTTATTTTATTTTTGTTTAAAAGCTATTTTTAGTCTCTGCACTGTTTAATATCAGATATGAGCAGATGCATAAAGCTGCTTATTGGAAATGGTATCGGAACTAGGAGTAGGACATGTTTTTTATCCTTTATCCTACTCCTTTTGAGCACCAGGTCCCAAATATGTTCAAGTACGTATCTGTGTTTTTTGTTATTGTTGTTGATTTTGTTGTACCCTGCTCAGACAAATTAAATGAATGAATGAAATGAAAAAGCTGAACAGGTGCATCTCTACTGAATACATAGAATACATTATTTTGTGATGTTCAACTTCTATATTGTGAAATGCCGCATAAAAAAGTCAATAACGCCCAGTGCCAGCCCAAGCCTAAAGGGGCTCTAAAGCTGAATTTGCCTTAAGGGCCCCTCACCACTTCACAGCCCCTGGACTTCACTATTGGAGAGTGACGTCTCATTAAATGACATGCAGGTCACATCACGTCTACCAAGACTGTTTGTGTTACCAACATCACATGCAATACTAATGTGAAAAAATATTGTAAAAGACCAGTAGTCACAAAAGCAGTCTACCACTTTTAAACTCCATACACCTTCACTAGAATCACTTGGATAAATTCAGCCCTGGAATTCCCAATCACTACTAAAAAAACTGTCAAATGTGCACTACTGGTCAAGTAGTCAACACCCTACTACTGGTCAACACCCTATTTTTTCCAGTTATTTATTACAATTCAAGTCGTGCGAGTCCAGTGAAGAGCTTGAAATGGTACAAAGGTAGGAAATGAACAGACAGAAGTTTAAAAAAAAAGATAAACAATAACAAAACACAAATCCAAGCTCTGCCAAAACTACCTCAGGAAAAAAGAACAAGATGGTTTAGCTTGAAAACATGAAGTGTCCAGCACAGTCTCCAGACTTAAACTGCATTGAGAAGAGTGAAAGTCAAGCAACCTGTAAGTGCCACACATTTATGGGAACTTCTGCAACAGACTTGGGAAGAACTTTTTGAAAAATACTTGATTTCTATTGTAAAAAGAACGAGCTATGAGTGTGTTCAGCTGTTATATCTGCCAAAGGGGGACACTTACATGAATCAAAAGTTTAGAATATGTTTTGGTCAACAGTAAACAGGTAAACTGGGGGAAAAAAATGGAAAAAGTGTGGTGTTCTAAAACTTCTGACCGGTAGTGTAGCTGTTAACTTGAAAACCGCTTCCTTACATCGCAAAGTGGAACAGAGCATTTTGAGCTTTGGGAATGTAGACAAACTAATAACAAAGAGTTAAACATGTGAGAATGAAACAAAATGCAACTTCAGGTATGTATTTGTTATGGATAAATATGTATATGTTTAAAGGTTAGACATTTTCTTGTTTTCTTATTAATGTAAATCTTATCCAAGTGGCTTCCGTACAATGCACCATTTTTCATCATTTGCTAAAAATGTCTGGTGGCTTCGGGCCCCTAATCTGCTTAGTCTGTTTATAGGGTAGGGCCGGCCTTGATAACGCCATCAATTAGAGCCAACAACTACAATCCATTTTGCATGTTATATAAGAACATAAAAAGGTAAAACTTCTAAAACAAATAAAAAGACAAAAGTCAAGTCAAAAATACAGTGTGAGTAAAAGTAGTAGTATTAGTCGTAGTAGTATAACATACGTTTGAGGCCAGATGAGGACGATGTGGGGGGTCTGGATGAAGAGGAGGAGGAAGAGGAGGAGGTCTTGAGGGGGAACGAGGTCTTTCCGCGACGGGACGATGGAGCCAGAACCCGGGAGCGCTTCAGAGGGATGACCGCCCGAGGGGGAGGGGCCACTCTGCCGTGGTAGTCAAACAGCCTGCGAGCACAGTTATCACAGAGTTATTTATCATTCCGTTTAGGTATAAAAAATATCCTGGAACAATTATGAAGGGGCAAAGGAGAGGATTATTACAAGAGACAATGAAGGTATAAGGAATAATTTATGGAAAAGCTTTGGTCCTTTTCCAGATCTCAGACAGTATCTTGGTCAGGAATAGCTGGAGATGCAGTTAAATCATTTCTGTATATTTTTTTGCCATGTGCAACAATTCCGATTATCAAAAGCATTAAAAAAATCAGACGTTAATCGATACTAAAAAAACATATCAATACTAGATACTCATTTGAGCAAGTATCAGTACTAAAAATGCACACATATTCGGAGTCACGTTCACAGAACATGTATAAGAGCACATAAACTAGTAAACATCCATGGACACTATGGAATCTACTTGGACGACTGAGGGATTACACAGATATAATACTACATGATAATACAAAAGTACTACAATTTAGACAATTTAATTCTACTGTCTAAAAAATAGTTTCAATCAATCAATCAAGTTATTATTTGTATCATGACAACACTAGTAACAACACACACATTCTACCAGTGTTCATGTTTTGTTTTTTTTTTTCATGGCTGAGGCGGATACAGAATCCAGAGTGGCCGATTGCCACTAAGATCTGCCGATATTTTTGGGTCAATATGTAGGGCCGATTTAGATTTTTTTTATCCCCACATTGTATAATTTAAATTTCCTAAATACTCACCCATGTACTTGTGTTTTTTGCAGTTATCTCTTTGCACTAAAGTGTTCAAATAAAGCTTTGTGAGTATTTTGTTGCAGGTCAGCCAAAACAAAATATCAGCCTGTGCTGGAGAGGCTGATAACTGATAAGCCAAATATCGGCCAGACATACTGTATTTCGGCCAACTGATAGATCTCTATTCATAACCTGGTTACCTAGTGTAATGTGCACATAGAATAGAGTTGTGCACATTTATCAGTGATGAAATGCTTAAAGTGATCAGAAAAAAGACAGATTTTGATTGGTTGTAGTGTTAAGATGCTCAGGTGTCCAAAAGTATTTGAAACAGCTTGAATAATGCATTGGACCTTTAAACGCCGCCCTATATTTGGCTCCACCTGTCGGCTCAGTCTAAATCCCATTGGCCTTTAGGATTTTGATGTCTTACTCATTGTCAGGCGGCGCACATAAGACAAAAGGATTGAGATCTGCTCCTGTATCATCTCACTGTGAAGAGGCTGCAGAGGAGGGGGCGCTAAATGTCACCCGAAGGTGTCACTGTGAGGGTGGCGGGGCTGGGGTGCGTCTGTCACAGCTCTCCAGCCAAGTTGACATTTGGGAGCGTCTTGGAGGATGAGTGCTCTGATCGCTGGAGGAGGGGCCGGAACAAGTGGGGCTTCCGTCATTAGCAACTTTTCATGCTCGTCGGCTCAGCACTTCAGAAAAGATGAGAGAATTCATAAGGGGAACTTTATGCCTTTGAAAGCTGTTAGGGTGTCTGCATGTATCAAATGAAATCATGTACTCTGTGGTAGTTCTACAGAGCCTCTAATTAAAGGGCCCGCATTACGCTGTTTTCTGAGCCATGCTATAATGTTGTTTTCTCATCAAAAACACACAAATCCTGCATATTTCCACTGATTTCTTCTTTCAGACCGAATACACTCCGTTTCAAATTGCCTTGTGCCAATAAACTCCATACACCTTCAGCAATGAAACTGCCAATCTTTATTAACGGTAAAGGGTAAAATCATTACATCCAAGGCATTACATGAAAAGACTCTGTGGACGTGCATCGATGGCGTCCTGTGTTTTTGTGGCGCATCTTCAGGTGTCAGTGCGGCGAGAATCTGGGGTCGACGTGGCACGCCAGTGTTCAGGTGTCGGATCATGGAAGATCATTTGTTTCATGAGATTTAGAATTTTAAATGTCGTTGATTACTCACTTAGAATTTTTTTTTACTCTTTACAAAGTGTTTAAAATTCAGTATAAAAATATATCCTTTTAAATATTCAGCACAAATATTTTCAACCCCTCAAATTCAGCAGTCAAAATTCAGAGTGTAAAATTCCAAGATGCCAAGACCTAAGCAATCGATCCAAATTGATCCGCTCTAATTTCGTAACCAGTACGAAATGGTGTAGTGAACAGTCTAATTGGTCAGAATTAGCCTCATCAAAACCTCATCTCTTTTATTTCGTAAGTGTAAACCCCGCCCACAGATGAGAACGACCAATAGGAAATAGTCTCTGTCCTCCTCACTCACTGCTGTCAAATTTTTCACTGCGAATTTTACCCTCTACATTTAGACTGTTGAATTTAAGTGCTGAATATATATGCTGAATATTTAAAGGGTGACATTTTTATTTTAAATTTGAAACATATTGAAAAGTACACTTAAAATTTCAGCAGTTCAAATGTAGAATAAAAATAATTCAAACATCTTTTTTCAGAGTTGAGAAATTCAGCAGTATTTAAAATTCCAAATCTGATTAAACAAATTATCTTCCCTATCGGATGCTCCGTCCGTGCATCTTGAGTGTTCAGCCAGAGCTGAAAAGGCTTTACTTTTGTTGACCAATCAAGGACTATTCTCCAGTGAAGTACCAACGTCATTATCCGGAAGAAGGAGAAGAAACCGGCAGCCACAAAAACCATAACAAGAAAATGTACACCAAGTCATTAGCAGAGTATAAATATACATCCACTAATGGGTTTTATGTAATAAATACACTAAAGTAACTCTCCAGACCGGGAAAACAAGGCACTTGCAGACCGCACTGGACGACCAGGACGCGTGTCAAGTATTTTTCTTTGTTGGGGGCGACAAACTCAAACGCAAAGGCTCCTACTAGAGGGTCTCAATGCAGTTTAAGAAGAAAACATGACATATTCTTTTATATTTTAAATGATCATCTTCACATTGACAGGGAGGCTGCGGCACAGCAGACACTGGCAATACAGTAATGGCATTAAACTTATCTATCTCCATGGAGACAAGCATTTTTTTAGCAGCTGAAATTTCAGTAAATTCCTGTAATTCAATAGATTCATTAGAAGTTTAATGTCATGGAAAATTCCAGACAAAGCAATGGCATCTCCACGGAAACAAGCAGTTAGTGGACCCTTTGTTGAAAAACATGAGCCTTTATTATCAATTTTTGTTAAGTAGAAGAAATTCAGCTTACCTGTCTATGAAACAGCTATGAACTGACGTTTAGTATAGCGCAGCAGGTGTTTAAAAGTTTTTATTCAGGCTTGATTAAATAAAATATGAAATGATTTGACCAAATCTCTGTGTTTAAAGTTCTTCAGTAGTAGGTGCATAACCTTCCCTCTGGGAATACCAACAGATTGAACCCCAGACTGAAAATATTCAAGCGATACTATGAAACCACAAAAAACAAAATGAAAATGCTTCACAACGTTCTGAGCACACGACCTTGGCTTTGAAGCGGCGGTTAGATATGGTTTAGAAAATATTGCGTACCTGCTGTAGAAGTCATCCCTGTAGTACTCGTAGTCAAACTCGTATCCACTGTGAGAGCAGACAGAGACAGGAGGAATTAGAATTAGGGAGAGGAGGCCATTTTGGATATGTCAAAAGAAACAAATGTAAGCAAATCCCTTTCAGAGCACCTCAAGGTATTCTGGGGCCCCTGATTATTTTTATTATTTATTATATGAATTTTAATTTGAGTTTTGATGAACACGTCACAATTTAGAAGGAAGAAGTTGGCAAAACGTTGGTAGAATCTTAAAGGTGTTCAAGGGTAGTTGGATTATTGTCACTGGGAATATTTGAGAATTTAATTATTAGGTTATTGAGAGATTTTAAGAAATAATTTGATAAAAGTTGAATAACATTTTTGAGGAGAAAGTTCAAGTTGACTTTCACTTTCATGTCCCATATTTTTAATCTTCAATAAGACTAAAACATTTTATATTTTTAAAATTCAGACCCATTATGTAAAATCAAAAGCTTTTCACCATGTTATAGTAGTTTCCCCTTCTTATTTACCCTCTCAAAGTTGTATTTGGAGTGATTTGTGCATGTTTGAGCAATTTTTAATTGATTATTTTCAAGACGTCACATTGCTTGTCAACACCCATTTTCACTGCCACCAGTACACGCCCACTGCTCGTACTTACTTTGTTCTCCAATTTTATTTTCTTAATTGGATATGGCAGCATCGCATAGTCATTTTGGTATAAATGAAAATTTAAAAATGCAGCTTGCTAGAGTGATGTGCAGATATCTTTCTAACTTCATGGCTCTTTGTCAATGTGAATGACGTTTACAGCTCCCACTGGGCACCGCAGTTTTCTAACGTGGAAGTCAGACTTGTTTCTTTTATTAAGTTGTTTTAGATGAAGGCTCAAGCACAATATGTCTTCTTTTAGCCTTTAATCTGTAGAGCAACAATTTTATTCTATTTCTCTTTTTTAACTGGATGTTTCTTTTGTTGGACATTCTTAAAAATATATCCTTGAATATAATTGTTTTAAGTTCACGGATAAGTCATCAGATTTTCAGGACCAACGTCAGCCAGGAGCCCTTGGAACCATCACACATCTACTCCACCGGCGTTCACAAAAACTCTAAAACTTTTCAAAGACAGAAGAGGGTTAAAGAATAAAAAAATTAAATATATAAAAACTTTTCTCCAAGTGCTGGCGAGGAGAAAAATCAATGCTTAAGCACTTGCTCGGGAAGACTGCTAATTTGGGATTCAGGGAGGAAAGAAGTAGTATGAAAATGGCTGCCCTCAGTGGAATTCTAATTAGGATTAACGTATCACTATTTCAATTTAGAGCACGGCGGTGTTGGCTTTGTTTCTCCCTGTGCTTAATAATTACAACACAACACCCCTGCTATAAAATGCTAATGAGTCCACGCACAATCCAATAAATTTGTAACAAATACGTTGTGTATTTGCAAGTATGGCGATTTTGAAGTACAAAAGGATGTAGAAAGGGAGAGTGCAGACTAGCCTCTCCTCATCACACAGGGGTAAATAAGTGGAGCTTTGATTTTTGTGAGGCCAGTAAAGAAAGTGCGTGCGGGCCTGAGAGATGCAGGTCAGCTATAATGAAGCTGTACATCTGCTTTGAGCTCGTCAGAGTTGGATCAGAAAATGTAAGGTGGTACTCAATATGAATTCAAAATAAAAAATAAAATAAAAATAAAACACTGGTCTGTGTTTACATCAAAAAGGATGTAGTCCATGTAGTCTAAAGGGATATAGAGAAATTTGTATGAAAGTGTATATTTGTGACAAAAAAGTTTGCTTTTATGCCAAAAAAAAAAAGTGTTTTCAGAAAGATATAAAAATATAAATTAGAAGCTTATACATTATGTAACGTTGTAAAGGTGGTTTGTCATCTGCATGACTCCAAGGAAATAGAAAGTTAAAGCCAGAGTTTGACATTCTCTTTGGAGTAAATTACACTTTATGGAACATTACAGCCAAAGGAACATCATTTCCATGGAGACAAGAAGGAAGAGGCCCTCCTCCAGCCGAAATAACAGTCAGGTTTATGGAGATGCAAGCCCTCTCAGACTAAGGACATATTTTCAATGCAATAAAAACAACCAAAATGATTTATGTTTGTCTAGTCTTTCACTAAAAACTTACATAATGTGGCTAAACTATAATTAAATGTCAATAAAAACAGCCCTTTTTTCCATAAAAGCCTATAACAAGAATGAATGAACAGAATACATACAGAGATAAATAAATACAGCTTATTTATTGTTTTGAGTAAAGAATTGCATAGGTGGGGTTGGAAATGTAGTGACTTTAACATGTTCTGTGTGTATTTCTGTGAGATGTGGTAGTTACCTGTACACAGCTGAGAGCGGCCGCTTGGTTCCTGCTTTGGGCCTGTACGGCTTGGGCTCCCCCGCCATGTTTATGTCTGTAAAACACAAAAGAAAACAACACGTCAGTCAGTCGTCTGTTTCACTCATCACTTATAGATCGATCCACATAAGAAAACATGAAAAATAAAGCAACAAGTTTATAGCAAGCAATATTTTATTAATAACAATATGGGTTGTCAGTTTGGCAAAATTGGATTAAATTGCAAAAACCTTGTGCTACTGTGTGTAGTAAAGTAGAGCTATGATATGCAAAGGAACTCACTGTTTTGACTTCAAAACTAGAGTCACATATTTGTACAATGTCGTGATCAACTTGTCCATTTTTAAAAAGAGGGTACTATGTAAAGTCAACTTTTTGGAGCTTCCTACCATGTTCGAACACTGTTCCCTCTTCAAAACATGTCTAAACTGGTTTTATACGTCATCCATGCATGCATGTTTGAGCAGTTTAGTGATCTTTCTCAGGCACTATTTGAACCTGTCTTGGTTAGCAGTACGATTCTGGCCAATGCTCTGCCCACAAGCCTACGTCACCCAAACTCCTGCACTACAGTAGGCTCTATCCACACTTACGTCACAAACCAAGAAGACGTCTGGAAAGATGTGATGACAACTTCTGGTGTAGTTCCTACATGGATCTATTAAAACCAACTGTGATAAAACCCATTGAAGTAAATGTGATCAGCATTAACATGGAGACTGCATACGTATGTGCTGTTTGGAATCATCTTGAATTTGGTGCCTCATCTTTTCTAATCGCTTGTACCCAGTGTGCTCGGGGTTGTGTGTCAGTGGGGAAATGATGAAAACTGAGGTATGGTTGGAATCGTTGATAAGTCAAACATAACACAACGTTACAATAACATGTAGATGAAGAAAACGCGGCCTTGGAAGTTGTAATCACATCTTTCCAAGCGTTTTTCTGGTTTGTGACTTAAGTGTGAATAGAGCCTATTCTCCATAAATGTATAAAAACATGATACAAAACAACACACTACAACTTCACAAACCTGGTGTAATGTGCTGCAGTTTCATTAGCAGAATGCACAATAACTTTAATTACATAATTCTTTATGAAACAGAGGTGGGACCAAGTTGTTGTTTGCAAGTCTCAAGTCTTTGACCTCAAGTCCGAGTCAAGTCCCAAGTCAAATACAGGCAAGTCCAAGTAGAGTCTCGGGTCACTGGTCAATAAGTCCAAGTCGTCTGCTTTGAGCTTCAAGTCATTTCAAGTCTTTAAACCAAATGCAGCTTAGATTTTAGCAATATATATGAATTTTAAACTAAACTGTATTTAAAAAGTCATGGAATATTTATATGTGAGTATTTATATAAGAATTGTAGAAATGGTAATTTGTCCTTTTGAAATGTCTTTTCAAGAACTTCTTCTCAAGTCAAGTGCCAAGTCATTAAGCTTCAAGTCGAGTCCTAAGTCTTATTAGTCTATTTTATCAAGTCAATTCTCAAGTCATAAAAAGAGTGATTCAAGTCTGACTCGAGTTCCAGTCACCACCTGCAAGTCCCCACCTCTGTTATGAAATGTGAAATTTTTGACTTAAGAGTGAAGAGCAAAGAGAAGTTTCATCAAAAATAAAGCTAAAACTTATTACACACGTTACAATCGTGCGTTGCTTTGAGCGAATACAGCATTTTCAAAACAATAAAAGCTAACACGGTGATATAAATACGTTACGTTTTAGCAGTTACTACCCCGTAGAAGTCGAATGCCTCCTTTTTGAAATATTTTCCTGTCAATCAAAGCCAACAGACAGTAAATACATGCAGTAAAATAAGAAGTCAGAGTTGTAGATTTTTACTCATGCGCGCTATATTTTCAAAACGGTGCTTTCTATCCTACACATTACCGGACGAATAATTTCAGCTTCCCATTTGAATTGCATTACACGCCATATCAGCTTGTTCCGACTCAAAGCAGCCTTATAAATAGTCCTATTGAGCCTCCAGCTTCAGTATTACCAACCCATTCACCGCTATACAACCTCATTTAAAACCACAAATACAAACAACAAAACAAACTCCCCTCTTCCCCGAAACTCAATATCGTAGCTCAAAGCAACACGGAGCATTCAAAACACCCTTACTTCATCATAAAGGCTACGAAATATCAATGCACACTCCCGGAAGCTGTTTTGTGTGAACTTTGTATGGTACATTTAAATAAGCAGTACACAAAGGCTTTTTTTATTGATGCTTTTTGTAATACGCTGGTACATGGCAAAATAAAAGAAGACAGACCTTGCATTGTCGCTAAAAAGAAAAGAAGGCAAAATCGGATTGTCGGCTTAGACTTAGACAAACTTTATTGATCCACAAGAGGAATTATTTGGACAGAGCAGCTCCATCTCGAAAATTCTGAATATTATGACAAAGTATATTTTTTTGTTTCATTTCAGAAAGTTAAACCCATATATTATATAGACTCATAACACAAAAAGTGAATTTATTTCTTGACTTTTAGGATTATGCAAACCCCAAATGATGTGTTTCTGAAAATTTGAAAAGTGTGAAAGAACTAAAAAATGGGAAATGCCAAAGGAGGCCGAACCAAGAATTGAGAAATGAACATACTTTTCATCTAAAGTAACTGATCTGATGTAAAACTCAAATTTTCTGAGACATGCTGAATTTTGGAGTTTCATTATCTATTAGTCATAATCATAAAAATTCAAGAAATAAACTACGTGTGTCGAGTCTATAAGGGTTTAACTTTCTGAAACAAGACAAATAATATACTTTTTCGTGATATTCAACATTTTTGGATGGACTAGTATTATCATAACAAAAACAAAAATGTAAATAGTAACAATAAATTTAAAAAGTAGCAAAAACAGCAAGAGACTGGTGTCAAATAAGTCATAGTTATATAAATGTGTACAAGTAAACATAAAATATAGAAATATAGTAATAAAAATATATCTAAGTTGTATACAAGCGATCATAAGGAAAAAATTGGGTTATATTATAGGTTTATCTGTTATATAAGGGTGTCGTTGTACAGTTGTAGGGAGTATTATCTGTTACATAAGGGTAAGTTGTTGTACAGTTGTTGGCGAGTATTATCTCTTACATAAGGGTGAGTTGTACAGCTGTAGGGAGTATTATCTGTTTCATAAGTTTGAGTTGCTGTCCAGTTGTAGGGAGTATTATCTGTTACATAAGGTTGAGTTGTGGTACAGCTGTAGGGAGTATTATCTGTTACATAAGGGTAAGTTGTTGTACAGTTGTAGGGAGTATTATCTGTTACATAAGGGTAAGTTGTTGTACAGTTGTAGGGAGTATTATCTCTTACATAAGGGTGAATTGTACAGCTGTAGGAAGTATTATCTGTTGCATAAATTTGAGTTGTGGTACAGTTGTAGGGAGTATTATCTGTCACATGAGGGTGAGTTGTTGTACAGCAGGGAGTATTATCTCTTACATAAAAATGAGTTGTGGTACAGTTGTAGGGAGTATTATCTGTTACATAAGGATAAGTTAGTGTACAGTTAGAGGGAGTATTATCTGTTTATAAGGGTGAGTCATTGTACAGTAGTAGGGAGTATTATCTGTCACATCAGGGTGAGTCATTGCACAGTAAGTATCTGTAGTATTATCTGTTACATAAGGATGAGTTGTGGTACACTTGTAGGGAGTATTATAGTATAAATGCTGCCCTGTATCTCTCACTGTTTGAGCGGAGCTGTAGGAACCTGTTGGAGAATGAGCTCCTGTCCTCTGTTGCTAGGATGGAAAACTACTAAAAAAACAAAAAACAAAAAAACACAAAACAAATTTCCAAAAGTAGACTTGATTTATTATGGCCGCTGTGTTGTTCAGAGAGAAAAAAAATGGTGCCATCAGAGGTATGAAGTTGGTTTTTGAAATTGCTATCAGCGACGTGCCAAGGGTGCCCAAGGTCTCCGGAGTATTTTGCCCAGTCTGAGTGGCTTCTGGGATGAGAGCCAGGAGGTCAGAGCACACACGCCGGCCAGAAGAGAGCCACTCACAAGCAAAGCACTCCATAAAGTTTATAGATGATGCGGACGAGTGCTGGATGCTAAAGATGGCGGAGACGGCGCATTGGAACACTCCCATAGAAATTACATTGTCCTCCAGTGGACTTAAAGCCGATAAAAGTGATAAATAACGGCGCAGCAACGGAAAGTGTATGAGTTCGCGGGAATAAAGTTGGGATTTTAAAAGAAAAAATTGTACTTCTCCAAGATTCGAACCGTTAAAAGTATGACTTGATGTTTTGATACTTTTTGGTCACTGAGTACTGTGGGAAGATATTTTGTTTCGGTCGATCTGCTGAATAAAAAAATACAAAAAGTTTTATGTTAACACTTGAAAACGAAAACTACACAGCTTTCTTATAGGTACGTGGTTAAAAAAAAGGCTGTGGGTGAGTTTGTAGTAAAATTAAATGACATAATTTGAAGAAAATAACCAAAATCAGCAAAAATATCGACAGAGCTTAAAACGTATTGGTCGATCTCTAGTTAAAAGGTGCACTGTGTAACTTTTTGGTTGTGGTCCGTCACCTGGTTGTTTCTATGGATATGTCACTGCGCTGTCTGGAATGTTCCACAGTATGACATTAAACAGCTCTACCTTACATTTTTTCAGTTACAGGTGGTTTTATAGCTCAAAAATACCTAGAAAAACAGACATTCTGACTGTGAGCGGGGTCACCTCTCCACAGATCTGACCTGTAACTTGGTCTGGTTTGGTCTTCATGAAGATAGAAAGGTTTAATACTAAGAAAGGTTTAATAATAATAATAATAATAATAATAATAATAATAAGGGTGAATCATTGTACAGATGTAGGGAGTATTATCTGTCACATAAGGGTAAGTTATTGTGGAAATATTGCTCTGCCTGGAATGTTCCACAGTGTGACATTAAGCAGCTCTATACCTTACATTTTTTTTCAGTTACTGGTGGTTTTATAGCTCAAAAATGCCTAGAAAAACAGGAAATGTGACTGTGAGCGAGGTTTCCTTTCCACAGATCTGACCTGCAACTTGGTC